AAGAAAAGTACAGGATGGTGCAGTCCTCTGTGAGAGCAGGAGAAGCTCCTGTGCTATCTTGAGGAGGCAGCAGTGTAAATCTACCAAGGTAGGACTTGTGGCTGCACCTCATAACTCTACATCCTCCCTGACCTGTCCAGTGCTGCCACAGAGAATCTCGGGCTCGGGTTGGCCTGTTCAGCCATCTGCACACTCATCAAAACCCAACAAAATGACAAACGTGCCATGTTCATTATCAACTATGATGGACGAACAAGAGAGAGAGAGAGAGGTGTTAATTGTTGTGTGCTCATGTGTATTTGATTGGTAGTGTTAGTTAGCATTGAACTTTATTTCTTTTTAGCATTTTCAGAGTCTGTTAGATTTCTGATGATGTTCAACTTTCTACATCCTACTCAAGCTCACCATTCGTAATTCCTTATCTTACTGAATGCTGTGTCTTTCTCTCTCCAATGTTGGTTATAGGAAAACGGTCTATAGTTGAATCCACCCATCTCACGATGCTCGGTGTCCGATTGCACTAGAATCTAAGTTTCGATTTTCACATTTCATCATTATCCACATTTCCAATCGCCATCTCATATCTGTCCTCTCCCGAACATCGATTTTGAAACCACTGCGACATCGTCGGATCCACACTGCTCTCTTCCACAGCACGTCCACAACACGTCCCAAGTGTCTCCTCCAGCGCCGCCTCGCCCACCGCATGGTACTCGGCGCTGAACGCAACCCCTTTGCTCATTCCTCTGACAATAACTCCACTGGCTCCAACCTCAGCACACCCCCTACTCCTCCTCCCTCGCCGCACCACACATCGGTGTCGTCACTTCTGTCACTCTTTTATTCTCCCGCGCCTCTGGATGGACTTTTAAGTTGCATTTGTGCGAGTTACAAGTTTAACATATTTAACATTTTATGTTACCGATCTAGACTATATTTAACAATAACTCCATACAACTCGAATAAAGTGAAATACACAAGGATAAGTGGTGACCCACACTGGTGTCATCACCTCCATACATTTCAAATCTCCAATCTCCTCTACCACCTCAGCTATTCGCTACTCACCACTTATCGCTTCCCCTCCATTCGCTCAGCTATCTTGGCCATCCCCTCTTTCAACTCCCCATTTCCCTAATCTAACACTATAAAAAAACCCACAGAGTAACCCTACTTACATTATCTATATCTGCCTCAATACTAACCACATTTCAACTGATCGCACAATCGCCCCTCCACTCTCCCGATTGTAATTTAAAAACGGGACTTTGGAATGCCCATTCCATTTGCAATAAGACTGCCTCAACGCGTGATGCCTTCTTGTCCCTCAACGCTCTTGCTCTCACTGAAACCTGGGACTCTTCACTCAACACTGTCACTCCTACCGATCTATCATCTTCCACTTTAATCCACGCACCACGGCAAGGGCGGAAGTATCGGCCTCCTCAACCGCCCTTCCTGGGTTCTTGATCCCTCTCTCTCTTCCCCTTCCTTCCCTTATTTCCAGTACCAATTCTCTCAATTCTCATCCCCTTACCCAATCTCTTTCCTCATTGTTTATCGTCCACCCAGTCCCCCTTCTCTCTTCTTCTATCATCTTGTATGCTTTCTTTCCACTTTCCTCCCTCTTCCCCACCCATTCATCCTCCTATGTGACTTTAATCTCAACCTCAGCACCCCTTCTATTGCTTCTATTCTTTGTCCTCTTTGCAACTCTTTTGATATCCACCTTCTACCCTCTCCTCCCACTCACTCCTCTGGTCATACTCTCGACCTCATCTTCATTTCCAGTTGTCAAGCATCCTCTATTATCACGGCCCCACGTCCCCCTTCTTATCATCTCCTCCTCTCCCTCACCATTTCATTTTCTTCTCCCTCATCCCTTTCCCGCATGTCTGCTCCCCTAATCCCCCGCCGTAAACTCTGCTCACTGTTAATCAGCTCCCTGATCGCCAGAACCTCATCTCTCCTACCCCCTATACCTGATTTCAATTCCCTCCCCCTTGATGCAGCATCCACCACACTTTCAAATGCAATTTCTCTCTCTCTCAATTTACGAGCACCCCTCCGCCCTCGGCTCCCCTCTACTAAGCCCCCCCAACCTTGGATTAATCCCTGTCTACAAAAACAGAACGACGTCGTTTGCCTAAAGCTGAATGGCTTCTAAAATAAATTCCCTTTATCTGAAAATAGGGTTTCCTATCTGTCATTGTTATCAGTCTTTCTATCAGCCCTTGAGTTAGCAAGACAAGACTATTTTTTGGCTCTCATCTCCTCCCTTGCACCTCATCCACGTCAATTATTCTCAACTCTAAATAGTCTTATCCACCATGTTCCTCCTCCCATGTCTTCCCTTTATTCTGGCCCTACTGCAACTGAATTTTGCAACTTATTTCACCACAAAAATCGATCACATTTGTTCATCTTTTCCTTCCCCTTCCCCTCTTCACCCTGCCACACTTGCCCAGCCTATTCCTCCAGATTACACCTTTTCATTTTTAACTTCACCAACTGCCTCCGAACTCATATCCATTGTCTCCAAATCCCACCCCACCTCATGTCCTCTCGACCCAATTCTATCCCATCTCCTCCCTATGATTCTACTTTATCTTGGGGTCCCTCTTCAATTACTCCGTCTCCTCTGGTGCCTTTCCTCCTGAATTCAAATATGCCACCATTATTCCCCTCCCTAAAAAAACAACTCTTGACACCACTCATCCAGAGAACTACCATCCAATTTCCATACTTCCCTTCTTTTATAAGCTTCTGAAATGCCCGGTCCACTGCTGCCTAACCAAGTTTATTACTTCCCATCGCAAATAACTACAATTCCAATCCGGGTCCCCTTAATGCCACAAAACGGCCCTAATCGCTGTCCAGAATTAGCTAACTCTAAGCACGCTGGTCTTTCTTCCATTCTAATTTTGCTGGACCTCACCGCAACCTTTGACACAATTGATCATCCCACTCTCATTTCTACCCTTTCTTCTGTTGGCATCTCAGGTACCGCTCTGTCATGGGTCCAGTCCTATCTTTCCTCGCACACTTCAGCTGTCTCATTCAACCATGTTACCTCTCCCCCTTACCACTATCTGTGTCTCCCAAGGTTCTGTCCTCGGCCCCCTTCTTTCTCTCTTTATATACCTCCACTTGAATCCCTTCTCTCATCAACCTCCCACATCATTTCTTTGCTGACGACACCCACATTGTTCTCTCTTTCTCCTCCTTCACTCTGGACCTTGCACTGCACATTTCCTCTCGTCTAATCACCATTCAATCTTGGATGACCCAACACTTTATCTCCATCAACCCTTAAAAACACACACATCCTCTTCTTCCTAGTTTCATGTTCTCCTCCTCCTTGTCCCACTATCTCCTTTCCCCCATTTTCTCTTACTTCGGTAAAGTCTGTCCGCAACCTTGGTGTAATCTTCAACTCATCACTCTCCCTATTTGACCACATAACCGCCACTACTTATTGCTGCCGTTTTCACCTTTAAAACATTCGTAAAATCTGCCATGTCATCACAATCACTGCCACCAAACTCCTTATTCACTCCCTCATCTTCAGTCGACTCGACAACTGCAATTCTCTCATGATCAGTCTACCATCCTACACGTTCAAACCACTCCCACAAATTCAAAACGCCGCTGCCCATATCATCAATCTTCCCTTTCATTCCCACACATTGCTCCTCCTCATGCAGCTACAATGGTTCCCTGTTTATTATCGTTTTCACTTTAAATTCCTTACCTTAGTTTATAAATCTCTCTACAGCCTGGCTCCTCCTTACCTCTCTTCTCTCATCTCACTTTATGTTCCTGCCCGCTCTTTGCATTCTAAATCTTTGCAGTCTCTTTCTGTTCCTCCCCCTCCATGTGGACAGTCTTGGTTTCGCTCATGCTCTCTCCTAGCCCCTCTTCACTGAAATAAACTGCCTCTCTCACTACCTTCCGCTCTTCTCTTAAACCCACTCCTTATTCTCTATGCCTACCCTTCCTGTGCCCCTTGTTGTCCTCCCCACTCGTATTAGCGCATTGCTTGCCCCAAACTCCCCATGGTCACCCATCATCAATCCGCTCATCTCATTTCCATCTTCGTTTATTCCACGCATCGTCACCTCCCCCTAATTTTACATACATCACATCCACTCATCACGTTTTATCTTACATATATCCCCTCCATATTTCACTGTACAGCGCCTTAATTAAGGCGCTATATAAATCCAAAAGAGGTTTTGTTTTGGGTTAGATCGCGTAAATATATAAATGTGTCGTTAAACCCACCACCACCCAACACAGACAATTAGTAAGGTTTCTCACGTAAACAAAACATGCTAATTCTTTACTACTACAGCACACCGGTGTGTTGGAGAGTAAACCTACAACATTTACAATTCGAGTATGACGTTTTGCCAGTAATTATAACCAGCATCATTAGGCAACAGCCAGAGTTATTGAGAAATCCTCCTGTTTTGTTCTTAAATAGAGGTATAAATGTGATATCGTCACTTGTGAGCCAATCAGGTGTGAAGGGGGGGGGTTATTGTAGTCAAATAAATTGCAATGGATAATTTTTTTTAATATCTCTCAATTTCGGTAGATTCTCTAATTAGTCTTGGCCAATAGTAACTAGTTTTGCACAGCACTCAAAGTCAGTTGCGTGTCCTTTTTGGAACGCGTGTTCTGCCACTGCCGATAGTTTTATTTGTGAGTATTTAATATTCCTTTGGTGTTCTTTTAGTCTCATGCTGGTCATTCGTCCAGTCTGACCCACATAGCATTTGCCACAAGAGCAATTAATCCGGTATTGGCATGTTTTGTTTATGTGACTTACTTATTGGCTTTGTCGGTTGGTGGCAGATTTAACGACACATTTATATTTACGCGATCTCACCGGAAAGCCTATATGTTGTTGCGAAAGCCTATATGTTAAACGCGCTACCTAAATGTACAAGGAATGATGATGATATATACCGCTGATGATGTTAATCTCTCACCGTTCCTCCCGTGGTCCCTGCTCCTCCCCTCTTCCACCTCTTCTCCCCTCCCTCCTCCTCCTCCTCCTTCCCGCCGGTCCTCCCTCCACTCTTCACACTCGCGATTTGAGCCCTCAGCTTTGCTGCCAGTGGAGATACTGCCAGCGGAGCCCCGCCAGCTCCCGACCTAGCCACGCCCACCCCATGTGGAGCCCCGCCCACTCCCGATGTTGCCCCGCCCACCCCCGATGTTGCCCCACTCACTGCGCTGCCAAACCTGCCTACACCCACCCCAATACTGGCCCCTCCCACTGCGGGCTTAGCTCCGCCCGTATCATCTGAGGCCACACCCACCCGGTTGCCACCAAACTTGGCTCCACCCCCTCCGAATTTGACCCCGCCCCCGACACTGTCGCCACTGCTGCAAGCGGAGGCCGGGTTGTCGCCCTCTTTAGCCCCACCTACTCCATCCGTAGCCTCGCCTGTCACAATCTTAACTCCGCCTACTCCTTCAAATTTGGCCGCGCCCCTTCCTCCAAATGAGGCACCTCCGTCTGCCTCATTAGAGGCCCCGCTCCTCCCGGGTTTGGCTCTGCCTGCAACTTCATTTGCCACGCCCACTCCAAACTTCGCTCCAACACCCCAAACTTTGGCCACGCCCACTCCTCCGAATTTGGCCACGCCCCTTCCCATGCCACCTGCCCCATCCGAGGGGCTGCTCACTTCGTACATAGTCTCCCCCACACCTGATTTGGCCCCTCCCATGCCTTCAGTAGCCCTTCCCGCTTCTGGCTTAGCTCCACCCATACCCCACATTTTGGCCTCGCCCACCGCTTCAGAGGCACCGCCCACTCCAAACTTTGCTCCGCCTCTTCCGAACTTGGCCCCGCTTACAACTTCTGAGCCCCCTCCATCTGTAGCCCCGCCCACCTCGGATGAAGCCCCGCCCACCCCTCCAAACCTGACCCCGCCCCTTCCGGTGAAGCCAACCCCCACGCCACCTCCTCGTGCAGAAGCCCCGCCCCTTCCAGGGAAGAAGGGGGAGGAACCGGAAAGTTTGGGGCCCGTGGAGAGGGGAGGCTGGGGCATGGAGGTGGCCCCGCCCCCCGCCTCCTCATTGTTGAAGCACGCCATGAGCTTCTTGATGTCAGGGGCCGCCTGAGAAACACGCACACCACACACACCACGAACACACCACACACGCCAAGGACACCACATGACCCACGCATGCCACGCACACGCCCGACACGCCCCGCATACACCACACGCGTTATGCACAAGGTGCGTTGCACGCTTCCTGGTATGATCGGATGTCAGTTCCCAGTCACCGGTAATCGTTTCCAGTTTCATGTCAAAAAAGAATGCACCGATTGGCACTGCGCATGGACGTACAACCCGCACGGTAGCCCAAGTCACTGCGTGGTTACATTTCCCCCCGTTTCTCCGTTAAAAGGTACAGGTGTGTCCCTGTAACGGCCTTGCTCACGCCACAGCTGGCGGAAGGTCACCCACTAGGCGGAGCTATAACTATTCCACACCTACCAGACTACTTGGAAGAGATAGGCATACCCACATTTTACCCCACCACACACGACCTGCCGATCGACCGTGGTGTTTCTGTCGTGACCCACCAGTCGATCGTACGGGGCATGTGTTTATTGCGAGGGAGAGCGGGGCAATGGCAGTGAGTGGCCAGGTGGAGCGAGTACTTTGCTGGGCTGCGGGGGCTATGCTGCTGCACGTGATCGCCTGTAAACCAGCACTGTAGCGGCAGCAGCAGGGGTTGGTGGATTGCAAAACTGTATTCCTGTCGGCGTCGAGGAGGGACTGTACCTTGGCTCTGCTAAGAGAAGGCAAGTTCCAATTGGAGGACGCTGCACGAGCCAAGTTGATTGACAGGGGGTGAGGCGTGAGAGACTGAGGCATGAGAGACGGAGGCATGCCACCTAGCAACAGGCAGCTGAGAGAGGCCGCGAGGGCTTGGGTATTTAGGTGAGCGCTACTCGCGTACGAGGGCGGCGGTGTGTGTGGCATACGTCTGGGGCGGTCGGCGTTCATCGGGGCCCGGGGGGGCTCCCGCGAGGGGCCGGTTGCTGCGGGACGTTGATGTACGATGAGTCGGCGCTCGGGACATTGCTGCAGTTGTGTGGGATGGCTGCTGCACAGTGCTGCTGGTGAGCGGAGTCGCTGTGTGCAGTGCTGCGTGGTGGACTGAGTCGGTGCTCGGCACAGCTGTTGCACTGAGTCGCTGTGAGCGCTGTGCCATTGCGTTGAGTCGCTCAGAGCACTCTTTGGAAGCTCCACAACCAAGTCCCAAGACTGAAACTGCGTCGAGCTTCTCAGGACACTGTTGAAGACCTCAGCCAAGTCCTGAGACTGTCGTTGGACTTCTGCTGCATTGTTTCGCCACCCAAAAGTGGATCGTGCGTGAGGATTGGTACGAACAGTCTTCACATTTTTTTCTATATTTGTTGTCTCACCACGGTGTTCTGTGATTGCGGGGTGCTATACAGATGTGTGGTCGAGTTTCAAGAGTTTTACTGGTAGGAACCTCCTGGTTACACCACCAGCCCAGAGGGGATTATTGTGTCCGTTCGTCCGTCGTGCATCCAAAAATGGGAGGGGTGGGGCTGGGTGGGGACAGAGGGGTTGGGTGGGGACAGAGGGGCTGGGTGGGGAGGGGAGGGTGGGGAAGGGCTGAGTTGGGAGGGTGGGGCTGGGTGGGGAGGGGCTGGGTGGGGAGGGTGGGGAGGGGCTGGGTGGGGAGGGTGGGGAGGGGCTGGGTGGGGAGGGTGGAGAGGGGCTGGATAGGGAGGGTGGGGAGGGTGGGGAGAGGCTGGTCACCCCGTGGTGCCCTTATAAAACTCAACGTTTAACCTACTCACGCCGGCTTGTGCCCGCCCTTACAGTCGGGCATGTTTGTGGAATACACCACGCCGCCGTTGACCCTGGCCATTGACCGAGCAACCCAACGTTCCTACCAGCTCCCTCCGCAGGAATGTGTTAGCAGTCGGTTGTACTCGGTGTTCTGTAATTGTTGACGCGCGGGGTCGCTGTGTTCAGTTAAGAGTTTTGATCATTTTTAAGAGTTGTTTGTACTTGGTTGATGATACATTGTAATCCACCACAGTTGGTTCTTGTGCATCGTGCATCAAACGGGCATAATGAACCAATTCATCTATATATATAAAAGGGAAATTTGTGAATGTGTCTGTTTGAAATGTTTAGCATACTTCCCGACATGCAACAAACAACTTCCAGACTGTACACAATGCAAAAAGTATAAAAATATACTTTTGTATTTTGGGGGGGGGGGGGGGGGGGCGCAATAATGGATATATTTTGCACAGCAAGTCACGCAGTGTGCCTGCTGACGTCACGCATTCCCCCCCCCCCACCCTCCGTGTAGGCCGTGTATTAATCCAAGACAAAGAATCCAAGTGTGGGGCGAAGTCGGGTAGTAAAGCTAGTAAATACATTTCAAATCTTAAGATTACCTTTATTCTGGATCGAGTTATTTCTCCATCTTTCTGTCGGTATTAAATCATGTTAAAAAGTCCGCATTGGTGCCCTATAATATTGAGGGAATTGCATGGGAGAGAAAATGGAGCCAAACTGCTCTCTCTCCCTTATTAATAAAAAAGAGCAACCATCACATCAACCCTAAACAGTCTGTTCAGGCTACATAGGGGGGTCTTTGTCTTTGTCCGTGAGATGCTTGCACGGCAAAGGTTGAAGTACCACAGACTGCTTCGTATCCCTCGCCCGCTCCGCATCACGGTCAATGATACAGTACTTCCGGGCACAGTATACCCGTGTAGTGACATAAATGGGGTCACTATGGCGTTTAGCGCCAGCTACTGTCACAAGAGTGGAGCTGTGTGTCTTGGGCTTCTCTCTGTAACCGGAGTGGGTATGCCATGGAAGCAGGCCCTAGGAGGCATAGTCCTGGTAACAGGGAGAGAGGTCGAGTGAGGACATGGCAGTCTGGGTGACGCCGAGAGGGCACGTGACCGGACGAGGTGGCAAGGGGGGCCCAAAAGGGGGAGAGAGGGACACGTGAGGTAGGGGCCAGAGCCTTCGGGAAGGATCTGGAAGGGGGCGTGGCCAAGGGCCGAGCCCGGCCACGCCGCGGCTGATAAAGGCCGAGTCCTGAGCCCCGATCGGGGCTATTCTCTGGAATCAACCCTCGGCGCTACGTCTATCCGATCTTCGGTCTCCGCTCGGCATCGTGGGTCAATCCGGACATTACTGACTGACCCAGTTATGTCATTACCCTGTTAGAGTCTAGTTAGCGTGTGTACGTTTATGTAGTTCACCCTGTTGGGGCTGTGTAATAAACGTGTTGCCTCCAAGTCAAGTGTGTGCCTCCGTGAAGAACACTGCACCTGCATAAGGCCAAAACTAACCCCAGCGATAGCTAAATTGGTATACAAAGAGGTTTTCCCACAATAGGTTGAAACCGTGAAGAATAAACCCATGATATTCAAGGGTTTTGTGTACAGAAAATTCACTAGATGCCATATGTTTCCATCTGTACGGGATAGTGTTTCCCCCCTCGCACACGTGTTGGTTTTCTCCACGCACTCTGGATTTCCTCCCACACGTATAACAAACACAACTCATCATGTAATTGGCTGAAAACATCTCAAATAAAAACCCAATGCAGCACCCTCCTGGAAAAGTCATACGATGCAGTGTGACTTTCCTATATGCGTTAAAGGTGCAGAGCAGGGGGCACTCATTGACAAATATTTCAATGGCAAGTGACGGGAGTGGCTTTGGGGATCAGGGTTGCAAAAGGTAACGTATGATAAATGGGTGCGACCGAAGAGGGAAACTAGCAAATACTTTGTGGCAGAAGATACGAAATGGACAGCGTTCAGAGGACAAATGCAGTTTTAGAATGGGGGGTAGAGATAGGTGGTGGCCAGTTTAACACGTAGGCTTTCGCGACCAATAGGTGGTGGCCGGTTTAACACGTAGGCTTTCGCGACCAATAGGTGGTGGCCAGTTTAACACGTAGGCTTTCGCGACCAAAAGGTGGTGGTCGCCAGTTTAACACGTAGGCTTTCGCGACCAATAGGTGGTGGCCAGTTTAACACGTAGGCTTTCGCGACCAATAGGTGGTGGCCAGTTTAACACGTAGGCTTTCGCGACCAATAGGTGGTGGCCAGTTTAACACGTAGGCTTTCGCGACCAATATGTGGTGGCCAGTTTAACACGTAGGCTTTCGCGACCAATAGGTGGTGGCCAGTTTAACATGTAGGCTTTCGCGACCAATAGGTGGTGGCCAGTTTAACACGCAGGTTTTCGCGACCAATAGGTGGTGGTCAGTTTAACACGTAGGCTTTCGCGACCAATAGGTGGTGGCCAGTTTAACACGTAGGCTTTCGCAACCAATAGGTGGTGGCCAGTTTAACACGTAGGCTTTCGCGACCAAAGGTGATGGCCAGTTTAACACGTAGGCTTTCGCGACCAATAGGTGGTGGTGGCCAGTTTAACACGTAGGCTTTCGCGACCAATAGGTGGTGGTGGCCAGTTTAACACGTAGGCTTTCGCGACCAATAGGTGGTGGCCAGTTTAACACGTAGGCTTTCACGACCAATAGGTGGTGGCCAGTTTAACACGTAGGCTTTCGCGACCAATAGGTGGTGGCCAGTTTAACACGTAGACTTTCGCGACCCATAGGTGGTGGTCGCCAGTTTAACACGTAGGCTTTCGCGACCAATAGGTGGTGACCAGTTTAACACGTCGGCTTTCGCGACCAATAGGTGGTGGCCAGTTTAACACGTAGGCTTTCGCGACCAATAGGTGGTAGCCAGTTTAACACGCAGGTTTTCGCAACCAATAGGTGGTGGTCAGTTTAACACGTAGGCTTTCGCGACCAATAGGTGGTGGACAGTTTAACACGTAGGCTTTCGCAACCAATAGGTGGTGACCAGTTTAACACGTAGGTTTTCGCAACCAATAGGTGTTGGCGTTCGCCCTCGCTGGGTAGAGGGCAGGTGCAAACCAGCTGGCATGACGGGAGAGTGGCGTGAGTCTTCAGCGCAAAGTCGGCAGGCGACTGACCATAAGAGTGTAAGTACGGCAAATGTAAATATGTGGACAAGCAAGCTACATAGGTTATGCGTAGGAGTAAGGTATTTTAAAGTGCACTCTACCCCTATCACTACTCCATCCTGAGACATTCCACTATCACTACCTCCAACCCTATCACTACCCCCACTCAAATCACTATTTACACCCTGATCAATACTCCACCTGTTTCAGTAACTCTACCCCTATCAGTAGCCCTTCCTCTATCACTACCCCTATCAATCATTCTCCATACCTCCAATTAGCACGAGTGGTTATGTACGGTGCAAAAATGTATTACCCCTATCACTTGTCATACGTTATCACTACCCAAATCACTACCCATACCCCGATCACTACCCCTACTCCTATCACGACTGCCACTTCTATCGCGAGCCTTAAACTTATCAATAGCCCTACCCCTCCCCCGGCTCCCAGAGCTGTAGCCCTCGCTCTTCTCGCCGCGGTTTCTGCTGTTTCCCTGTTCTACAGGAAACTTGCCCTTCCTCTCCCGACCCCCACACACGAGTGCGCCAGGGGATGTGTGTCTCCGTTAGATCCACTGAGCCTCAAACGAGTGCTGTACAACCTGCTGCGGAGTAAATAATCGGCGCAGGGATACAAAGGCGGCTGGCCTTCATTGTTGCTCGCTAACCGTACTTTCCCCAACAGTTTGTGTAGGCTAGACGGGGGATTTTTTGTCTTTTTGTATACGTACACTGTATATTTACTGTACTGTTGTCTCTCCCGGCACTCTCCAGGGTGTCTGAGTTGTTCCACCTTCTCGGTGTTGTTCTAAGAACGCAACTTCTCTCTGCCTCTTTACGAACTTCTCAGTTTAATTTGCTCTATCATTGGGCGGCAGCGCGGTGGTGACACTCGCACCTCACAGCCAAAATCACCTGGGTTCGATTTCCAACTCGGGCACCTCCCTGTGTGGAGTTTGCATGTCCTCATCTTGTTCTGCATGGGTTTCCTCCCATTGCTAAAAACAACACGCACAATGTAACTGGTATTGGCCAATTGAGCCCTGGGGATTGTGGCTGTGTGGCGCACGTGTCACCACTGCGCAACCTCCGCCGCCCATATCATGAGATTGATCCTAGTCTCCCTTCAACAATCGCCCTCGGTGTATCTGCTGAGTGTTCTAGTCGTGTCTCCCTCCAATCGCCGCCGCCAGTGTTGAGCGAACTCACTCACACCATTCTTGAACACTGCTCTTCTCTATCCTCAGCCGCATTTTGTAAGCATGAAATGTTAAGTTCCCCTCTCGTTTCCGGCTGTTAAATTCTATCGCTCGCAATAAGGACCCGGACTTTTAGAAGGGTTCCTTTTTACGTTACCGATAACCACATGGAAAACACCTCAAAAAACCCCGGCTATCGCCACACATCTACAATGTCGATAGCGACAACGCACTAGGCTTTGAACTGAGAAATAAGAGCAGCTGCCACCGCGGTGGCGGTGGTAGAGGAGGTAGTGGGCAGAAGAAATTGACTCTCAATCCAGAGATCGCCGGGACCACGGCATCTCGGCGCAGCAGTTGTGAACCAATGGGGCACGTTTCCTAAATCCCCCACCGGTCGTGTGACCCAGGCAGTGTTCGTGGGTTCGCCGCAATCGATCGGCAGGGCGCATGTGGTGGGGTAAGATGTGGGTAAGTCCACCTCTTTCTACTAAAATTACACTGTAAACGGATTCTTGACTTTAGGAAACAGTTATCGATTCTCAAAACGGTTACCGATTCCCGTTGAACCAGCCTCGTCAATTCCGATTGTTATAACATTCTGTCCAGATTTATACTTAAATACAGCCTTTGATTAATCCACTGCTGCCTGAAGGCCTCCCCGCACCATGTTTGACAATTCTTCATCATGCTGGTCATTGCGAGTTCATGGTGAAGGGGAACCGTTCAGATATCACTTGCCACTGATGTTAGTCGTGGCCAGGCATCAAACGCACGTAACTTCCTAGTGTGTATATGTCTATAAATAAATGGCAACGTACTGTACTGCTCAATGAGCAATGAAGCATCAGTGCTCCTCTGTTTACAACCCTGCAGCAGAGCCAGTGGTGGAAGTTCCACATTCCTCTGGCGGGGGGCGGACAACCGCGTTTTACTTACCCCACAAAGTGGTACTCAACCACGGTTTTAACTCCCGCAACCTTCCGATTGCAAGCTGCTCGCTCTATCACTGAGCACGGTGTGTTTAAGAGGAACAAACCCTGACCACCAGCAGCAGCGCGCGTGTTTACACCGCGCAGCAACAGGCAGCGGAGATGACCGCTCTCGTCATGCGCGTGATGGCAGCAGTCATGAATTCAATATCGAGGTCTGCTGCTCGCCACGACGAGAGGGCTTCAGCGGAGAGAGTTCGTTTGGCGCTGCCCTTCCACACGCGTCACTCAGCGGACACCTCACATCCACGTAGACCTGTGTCTCCACACAAAGATCCCACGTATAGCCTGCACAGGCTGTTGTGACAAGTGCTGTTAACAAGCACCTATGAAGGCCGATGTTTACACACCGCACCAGGTACTTATTCCTAGGGGAGGCCCAGGACCGGTTCAGATAATTGTCACCGGTGAGCAGGAATCGAACTTGGGTGGCCAGGTGCGACGCGCGACCCGCGAGACACGTACACACTTTACATCTTCAAACTGAGTTCCTGCTCAGATGCGCATTGAGACGTTGATACTCATCTTCCACAGCCCTGAGCCGTGGTGGAAATTCCGCATTCCCAGGGCGGGGACGATTCTCCCCGTAAAACAACCGCTATTGACTTCCCCACACGTATTTACATTCTGTACACACAAACACAACAACCACACGTATTTACATTCTGTACACACAATCACAACAACCGCCGTTTGCCACGAAGTTGCGATGACATCACCACTGCGCTTGTGCCAGGCTAGATGCACACAAAAAAACTTCCAAACATAGTATACTTATATACACACATAATGTATATACTTACATATGCACTCATACATACACTCGTACACATACAAACAAGGTATACATACACATTGCTACACAAATACAATAATTAGAGCATGGGTAACAGTTGTGATTGTAAGAGCTATTAGCGGAGACCGCACACTCACCATTATCTTGACTTCCCAAGCGACTGGCATCTGAGGGGCGGGGCCATATCTAGAGGGGGCAGGGTGGGCGTGAGGGGCGGGGCTACTAAAGCGGGGGGAGGTGGACTTGAGGGGCGGGGCTAGTAAAGTGGGGGTGGACTTGAGGGGCGGGGCTAGTAAAGTGGGGGTGGACGTGAGGGGCGGGGCTAGTAAAGTGGGGGTGGACATGAGGGGCGGGGCTAGTAAAGTGGGGGTGAACGTGAGGGGCGGGGCGAGTAAAGTGGGGGTGGACGTGAGGGGTGGGGCTAGTAAAGTGGGGTGAACGTGAGGGGCGGGGCTAGTAAAGTGGGGGTGGACGTGAGGGGCGGGGCTAGTAAAGTGGGGGTGAACGTGAGGGGCGGGGCTAGTAAAGTGGGGGTGGACATGAGGGGCGGGGCTAGTAAAGTGGAGGTGAACGTGAGGGGCGGGGCGAGTAAAGTGGGGGTGGACGTGAGGGGTGGGGCTAGTAAAGTGGGGGTGGACATGAGGGGCGGGGCGAGTAAAGTGGGGGTGGACGTGAGGGGCGGGGCGAGTAAAGTGGGGGTGGACGTGAAGGGCGGGGCTAGTAAAGTGAGGGTGGATGTGAGGGGCGGGGCTAATAAAGTGGGGGTGAACGTGAGGGGCGGGGCTAGTAAAGTGGGGGTGGACATGAGGGGTGGGGCTAGTAAAGTGGGGGTGGACGTGAGGGGCGGGGCGAGTAAAGTGGGGGTGGACGTGAAGGGCGGGGCTAGTAAAGTGAGGGGAGGTTGGACGTGAGGGGCGGGGCTAGTAAAGTGGGGGTGGACGTCAGGGGCGGGGCTAGTAAAGTGGGGGTGGACGTGAGGGGCGGGGCTAGTAAAGTGGGGGTGGACGTGAGGGGTGGGGCTAGTAAAGTGGCGGGAGGGTGGAAATGAGGGGCGTGGCTAGTAAAGAATCAAAATCTTTATTTAGACTGCAGGAGGAATCCGATGAGCTATGAAGCTCTGTTTAGTTATCCAGTATTGGCAATGCCACTGTCATCATGGACAAAACAGAATATAACAACAAAATTCAAGAACTACTCAACGATGGCAGCTATACAAAAATAAAAAGAGATCCCACCAACAGCCTGGTTACCAAAACGAACAAAATCATCTCCGATTCCACAGCATTAATTGATCAGACCAACCAGTTCTCGTTGAAACCCTCTGCTGCCAGACCACCAAGATTATATGGCCTTCCAAAGATACACAAAGAAGATACACCCCTTCGTCCCATCGTCTCTACTATCAACTCCCCCACCTATAAACTGGCACGTTTTCTTGCTGATATACTGCGACCTTTCACTGGAAAAACCACCTCTGCGGTACTAAATTCTACTCACCTGGTATCGACAATCAAAGGCATTTCCTATCCCCAGACGACCTGCTTGTCAGTTTTGATGTGGTGTCCTTGTTCACCAAAGTCCCGGTACCTGACACGATCGCTATCATTGAAGACCTGGTTCATCAAGGACTGCATACTGATGTACCCCCCCCTGGTGAGACATTGCTTAACCAACACATACTTCACCTGGAATGGAACTTTCTACAAACAAACTGAGGGCACCCCAATGGGCTCCCCCCTATCTCCGGTTGTAGCCAACGTATTCATGGAAAAATTTGAAACTGACGCCATCCAGACTGCCACTCTACGCCCGACCTTATGGAAGAGGTACCTGGATGACACCTTTGTCATCTGGCCACATGGCCAGCCTGCTCTAGACCAATTCCGTGACCACATCAATTCCATACACCCAGCCATCAGATTTACCATGGAGGTCGAAAAAGATGGCAAACTACCCTTTTTGGATGTCTTAATTAAAAGGAGACATGATGGTTCAATGAGCCACTCTGTCTACAGGAAAGCTACCCATACAGATGCTTACTTGAAACCGGACTCCCACCACCATCCATCCCAGAAGAACTCCCTCATCGAGACTCTATACCATAGAGCCCAATGAATTTCCGACCAGGAACACATTACCAGTGAACTCAAGCACGTACACCAGGCTCTCAGGGCTAATGGTTACTCCGACTACACAATCCGCAAAGCCATCACTCCAGTCATGAAGAAGGATCCTCTTGTGGAGCCACTCAAAACCATCACCTTACCCTACATTGCAGGGGTCACTAAAAAGATCTCCAAAATCCTGAATAAACATAAGATCCAGGTCCGATTCAACACAGTACATAAAATCCGTGATCTAGTTCCATCTGTAAAAGATGCTGTTCCAGACATACAGTACCCGGGCGTTTACAAACTAAAGTGCCTCTGTGGTAGTAGCTACATTGGAGAAATCAAACGACACATCTCGGACCGCATCCGCGAACATAAAGCAGACTTGAAACACGGTAGAACGAACTCCTCTGCCGTGGAAGATCACTGTTATAATTCAGTGGGCTCACATGACATTGACTTCTCCAAGACGGAGGTTCTTTGCAAACCAACCGGCTACCATGAGAGATTCGTTCATGAGGCCATTCACATATACAAGCACAGAGACAATTTCAACCGAGATGGATTCTGGCTTAGTAACCATTGGAAAGATGTTTTAAACCATTTCCGTTCTTAATTAATTGTATTTTAGGATGACCTTCAGACCGCAGCTCTTTCACTGGCATTGACTCTTAATACCTCTCACACCACGGTTAATGGTATGGTTTACAACATGGAGTATAACAGCGCCTCGCAGCTGTCTCTCTCCCCCTCCTCTGTTCCGACCATGGATGAACTCGTCCGTCTGAACGGGGCCCGTAGCTATCCGTGTTGCTAAAGTTGAGGGTAAGAATCCACCCATTTTTTCGCCATATAGCATTGTGATATATAACGACTTATTGTTGGTAGGTTAGCTGATTGGAGAATATATAGAGTTTATTGATAACATTGAGGTAATTTATAATTTAGTTTTTTATTGGTTCACTATATAGTATTCATTATATATTGTAGTGTATACCCAGTTACTGTGAATAGCTCAGATGTGTAGGCTGCGACTTCAACATAGCCATTTCTGTGACCAGTCACAAGCTAATCACTCAGTTATTTCAATGCTAAATTCTGCTAGTTATTTCAATGCTAAATTCTCCTGTTTGATTTGTACTAGGTGCCTCTGTGAATGTATGCTCTGACTTTAACATAGCTATTTCTGTGACCAGTCACAAGCTAATCACTCAGCTATTTCAATGCTAAATTCTATGCTAATTCCTTTGTCAAGGGGTGCCTCTGTGGATGTGTATGCTTTAACTTTAACATAGCCATTTCTGTGACCAGTCACAAGCTAATCACTCAGCTATTTCAATGCTAAATTCTATGCTAATTCCTTTGTCAAGGCGCTTTGTTTCTTCTCACACAGCTTAAAGGTCGCGATCTGAGCGTGGCTTTTTCACTCCAGCGCTGTCCTCCAGACAGTCTCCTCCCTTCACCTGATGAAGGCCGCTTGTGTTGTGGCCGAAACGTCGTGATAATTTTATTGTTATTTCATTTTATCAATTTATTATTTTATTCTCATTCTACGTGACTTTACCGAAAGAACCAAAGAAGACAGTATTGGCAGCTCATAACATTACGATAGGAGTGCAAAGTATAGGAAAGGTAAACAAATCACTTATTTATCCGAAGCAGCCTGGCCACAAATGAGAGCTCAATAAAGTTGCCTTACTCATACTCTTTGGTTCTTTCGGTGAAGTCACATAGGTATAAAATAAAATAATATACATTAAATCATGATGTTTCGAACGCAACACAAGAAACAATTGCTGAAGTAGGCAAAATAGTTGCTAGTTGCCTTATTACCTTATTACGTGGACATTGATAGTGTAGGGGTGTTGTGAGATGCAGAGGTACAGCCGATCCTTGGTCTGATCCTAGGTGGCTACAACCACGTCCGCTGCTACAGCCCCACCCAGGGGTCTGTGGGTATAAAGGGCGGAGAGTGAGAGAGCTCGGGGCAGAGTGTTGGGTCCAATAATGAAGTACCAGGGAAGAAGGAAGACCAGCTAAGCAGAACCCTGGGACTCCCCTGACCGCTGTCCTTCTCAGGATCGGCAGGGCAAGCCAGTGGTACGGCCCCAGGAGCCACAGAGCCGACGTCCTTCTAAGGGCCGGTCTGGTTGGTGGGGTGCCGTGATCTGCGCTTAACCAGGGACAGATCAGACAGCCTCCACCTAGAGCCCTTAGCTGGAGGAACCGGGGCACATAGGCTACATAGCCTAGGGGGATATTCCTAAGTGTATTCGGGTGAAGGGGCCGCTACCCCTTCAGTGTGACCCCTTGTTATAAATAAATAAGTGCTGCCTATACTCTACCGTCTCCGTGTCACTGGAATCCACTACAGTAGCAAAAAAAAAATCTAGACGCATGATGCCAAATGCGGAGGGAAAACTGAAGGACCCGGAGAAAAAATCCATGCGACCACGGGAAGAACATAAAACTTGAAATACACAGGCGTTAAGGTTGGGATCGAACCTTCTACATACCAGGCTTAGGAAGACAATGTCACACCACCATGGCGCCTCTTGACTAAATAAAGTATTTACGTTACAGTTGCATCGCCTATTCCCAAGCTTGGCAAATGCAGTTAAAACAACAGCAAAAACAGTCCCAGACCACACCAAGACAACGCACTGTCCCTCAATAAAAGTGGACATTAAAATTTTACTATCGATACATTAAGAATCTAATTTACAAATCACATTTGGTAATGTGGCTGTATCCAGAAAGAAAAAGGAATGGGCGTGGCTATGTGAGTGCGTGTGTGGGGGTGAAGATAATATTCGTACAATACAGTAATAAAAATCAAGATTACAGTAATAACATTGATGTTTACTTAAAGGTCACACTGAGTCTGATGACTCCTTTTGAGGAGGGTCTTGCTTTGGGTTTTTGTTATGAATGATTTCAGCAAATTACTGATAAGTGTGTATTGTACGTGGGCGGAAAGCACAGTGCTCGTACAGGAAACCCACGCGTGCGAGGGGGCAACCCTCGATCCCCGCGCAGAGAGGCGGCTGCTTTCCACGGGGCGGCGCGAGGCCTGAACCGCAGGACGCTGGGC